CATTTACTCATTCTTCTAGTTTTAATTTATTAAATAATGTTGTTGCTTTTGTAATTTTTTTGTAATATCGCTCATCGTTCAGCTGTCGATTCACTTCCTCGATGTACTTCTGTTTATCCATTACAACGATGGTATTGGATTTGTCTGTTTTTGATAGAAATATTTGTATCATGAGAGAGGTCTTTAAGCGACTAGAGTTCTTGCTTGGGTATGTTAGGACGAAACCGTTTTTGTTTAGAAGAGTGCATAGTTACATTACTGATAGCCACAATATAAAACTCGAAATAAATGCCTCTCCCTAGAGGTAGGGTAAAGGTAGATGATGTTTTATAATAGAATGGTAAATCTTATATTCTTCTTTTATGTTATCATCATCGATTTTGTTGATATCATTTTTAAACAAATCGTGGAAGTACTCTTTTAGTCTAAAACGTCTTAAAAATGAAAAACTTCTTCCGCTAATCGAACCTCATCATGCGAATTATAACTTGGACAAAATTCTTACCTTTTTTCCGGCTACCTTAAGTTATGTTTCTTAGATTGGGGCGTGATGATAGTTTAATACTGTTTTTTTTATCCTGTATCTGTTTTTTTTTTCGCTTTTTTATATTTTATATTGTTTTCAAATGCCAGACAAGCATACACATTTATAAGAGTTAAATTGAAAATACTAGTAATACATTAACTTCAGGGTATATTAAAGATATACTATGCTCATACTTGAGAAAAATATTTTTATCCAAAAAAAAAATGTATTGAAACCTTTCAAATTCTTATTAAATATGTCTAATTTGAATAGTAAAATTAATAAACTGTGTTTTGGAAGCTACGTTTCCTATTACAGAAAAGGTTATTATTGTCTTTTCTTAAAAAAACTACTGCCAGTTTTCTTTTAACGACACTATATATTCATACTGTGACGACCTCTAGTGTGTAGAGATTTATACATGACATATCTACATTGTGTGAAGTCAAAACATGTAAATTTTATATTTACAAAGAGACTGTGTAGCATTTATCAATGTTTTCTGATATATCAAATTTGAGCATAGTAAATCTTTAAACAAAGGTATTTCGGCGGTAAAAGAAAATATTATACAGACAAGCAGCTTTTTAATAAATTACTCTATTGATTTATATAGTTATATATTTTATAAATTAGATATTATCTATGTTATGCATTCATTCTTTTCTTCCTCTGTAACACTTTGGAAATATACAAACAGTCAGTACAAACCCTAGACAGAATGCTCGATCCCAGAGCATACATATATTATATATATATTTATATATATATATATATATATATATATATATATATATATATATATACACACACGTATATAAATATTTCCTATAAATAGAAGCAATCATGAATAGGTTTGTCTTTTGTACCGTTTGTTCAAGGGGCGATTTACGGACTTCTGTAATTGAATCGATAGTTGAAATACTTAGGGTTTTAAATAAACATTTAACCCTGTATTTTAACAAACGTCACGTTTACAACTTTTATTTAGCCGTGAAAGTTGACTAGTAAGACTTTATTGAATCAAAGGAATGTTTGATAAGAGACATAGACAATATTTTAATGATTTAAGAAAACAATGTATTGATAAAACCTTATTAAGCTGCACACTTTAAATTGACAAAAATTAAATATTTCTTGATCAGACATATGTAATAAAATAGTTTTAGAATTAAATACTTTCCTTTTTAATAACATGAATATACTAGCATTATTTAAGTGTTTTAAAATGAAGACAAATAAATCGTTATAAATCATCTGGTAATTTTACACCAATAATTTCTGGAACAATGAACATTAGAAATTAATTTGAATAAAAAAGGAATTGAAAGCTCAAAAATGTTTAAATAGACAACTGTCCTTTTATCATTTGTTTTACAAATTAACATACAAACTTTTGAATTGATACACAAAGTCAGAAGCCAGGAGTCATGAATGATAATTTCATGATATCTGGAAAAATTTAAGTTTTAAACAGTGTCACGTTACATTTCCAATACATAACTCGTTCTTGGCATTGCCTTAAAGATTGAAATATTGACTATGAAGTGACCAATACTTGATACAAAAATCAGTATATGACCGCATTACAGTGAATATGAAAGGAAAGGTCTGTTATGTTAAATAGTGTAACCGCCGTCAGCATGTTAAAGGCGACGAACATGTAATGTTCATATGCTGAATAAAGAATTGAATTGAATTGAATTGTCTCTTTTTAAAGGGATATTCAGGCAAAATAATGACAAAAATATTAAAATGATCTTTTGTACTCAACTCGCACTAAAATGACATATCTAAACGTTTCAGCATGAATTTCTGTTTTAATTCTATTTATTTTGGATTTGAAGCATAAATTTATCTTTATATGTTGAACAAAATTTAGACGCTAAAAGAATCACCGAATAGATTTAAAACAGGTCAAGTGACTTAAACAAATCCTTGAAGTTACATTAATAGATACTGTGGATATTGTATGATTGAAACAAGTCAAAATATTCATTTGATATGTTCTTTAACGTTTCCAGAGTTCACTGTGACAAATATTGTGAAATCATTGCGCTCTAACCTGACCCGCGTGGACGCGGGTCAGGTTAGGAAACCACCATTCATTCTTTATATGTAGAGAAGTTTTGTTCCTTTGACTGTCTAATATATTCATTTTGAGGGCATTTACAGAATTAGGAATGAAAAAGTCAAAACTAAGAAATGAAAATTTTGCCTGTGTCTCCCTTTAAATATAACAAATAAACTTAAAGTAGTTGTAATAAATGCTACACGTATTTCACTTATGATTAACAATAAGTATTTTGTGTGCGTGCGTGCGTGCGTGCGTGCGTACGTGCGTCCGTGCGTGAGTGTGTGTGTGTGTCTTTTTTAAATAAATATTCTTTTCATTATTTCGTAATTTCTTTCAATTGCAAAGTAATGCATGTCGTAAAATATCTTATTACAGTAAATTTGTTAGTTCAATAGTTTTTGAGGGATTTTAGTTTGAGGATTTTTCAATCAAATGGTGTCGCCGTGAAAATGCGGAAAGTAATGCTCTAGTCATATTGAAACGTAACATCTTTAAAATTATTGATTAATTTTTATCGTGGAAAAGAACATCTTCTGCCACCTTAACCAAGACTTACATTAAGACAACTGAAAAAGGATACTCTAGCTTTCCATTCAAAATTTGTTTTGGTGCCAGCGGACAAGGCAGCTAATAATATCATAATTGTATGACAAATCCATTACATTAACGTTTTGCATTAGGAACTCAATAGTACTAATGCGTATTCTAAAACATCTGCCTCCGAAAAAGACATTGTAAATAATCATATAACTTATATTTCCAAAAGTCCAATTTAATGAAAAAGAACTCAAACTTCCTATTATGTATTGAATTCCTAAATAACATAAAACCCTTACAAAGGCAGATCCATTGCTAATTCTACATCTTACACTTCAAGAAAACTTTCTATTTTATTGACTCCTTGTTTGAATACCATTAAAACAAATATGATTAGATATTTGGATAAAGTCTATGAAAACACAGGCAAACATCTCTTTTGGTCTATTAAAAATTCTGGTAAAATCTTGGATAAATTCAAAATTATCAAAACTATCAAGCTTCAACTGTCATTACAAAGGCAGATCCATTGCTAATTCTACATCTTGCACTTCAAGAAAACTTTCTATTTTATTGACTCCTTGTTTGAATGCCATTAAAACAAATATAATTAGATATTTGGATAAAGTCTATGAAAACACAGGCAAACATCTCTTTTGGTCTATTAAAAATTCTGGTAAAATCTTGGATAAATTCAAAATTATCAAAACTATCAAGCTTCAACTGTCAGTACATACGACGATTTTTCTACACTTTATACAACTTTAACATATATATTAATTAATGGTAAACTAATGTCCCTAACTCAGAAAAATTTTGCTTGGGAAAAAAATATTTTTCTAGCATGTAATTCTAACAAAGCTATGTGGACCTGTGACGAAGTTTGTAAAGCACTCTTTTTTCTTTTAGACAACATTTATGTCAGGTTTGGTTACACCCTATTTGAAAAGATCATATTAATTCCAATGGGTACTAATTGTGCACCCATGGTCGCCGATTTGTTTTTGTAATGCTATGAAAGAGACTTTATGTTGAGTCTCTCTAAAGATAAACAACAAAATGTTATTGTCGCATTTAATAATTCTTCCAGATACCTCGATAGATTTTTTTATTTAGATAATTCTTATTTTGATCAAATGATGTCTGACATTTATCCTTATGAATTACAACTTAATAAAACAAACTCTTGAAATTTTAGTACATAATTTTTAGATCTTCATATTACTATCAATAACAATTCTATTCACACGAAATTCTATGATAAAAGAGATGACTTTGACTTTTGTTAAGTTAATTATCCACATTTAGATGGAGACGTACCCCATGCAACATCTTACGGGGTATATGTTTCTCAATTAATAAGCTCGCTAGAGTATTTCCTATTATTCAATATTTTATTTGTTTGCTTTGAATTCCTTATCAGTTACAAAATTATTTATCATTTTGGTGATAAACCTGTCCGTGCTTGTGCCCTGTCCCGTTTTTGTTTTGGGTCCGTCTGGATTCCTTGCCACTGGTTCTTGTTGCTGGGTCGTGGTGAGGGTTGCGTTCATTGAATGCCGCCTTATTTGTTGAACTTGGTTATCATATCTTATCTCTTTTAAAAATCACACTCATATTTACACTAACTGACACGTCCTAACTTCACCCGTTTGTTGCCTCTTGATTTTGTTTGATGCCCTGCTGGGCTACTTGCCTTTAGTCTGTCATGTACATATTATCAAAGATGTTATATTTTCTATGTATTTAAACCCTTTATACATGTATATACATATAATTGACTTGAAGAAACGCTATTTTGAAAACAAAGTGTCTCGAAAAAGTGCGCTGAATTTCGTTTTTGCATTAGCAAATGCTAATAATAATCCATTTCATAATACGTTTTGCTTTAGTCAGCGTTTATTTCAAACCAATACCAAAAGAGTGGATTTTGTTTATACTGTAATTTGTTCGATTAATTATATAAGAGTTAAATACTATAGAAACTACAATCTATCTCACATTCAGAAAATATATAAGACAAAGTGGACATGCTTTGTGAAATGAAATAAACGTAACTCATTTAAAGACACTGAGCATGAAAGTTGAAAATGCGAAGAAGAAAAATAATTTTATTTTTCATAATCATCTTTGGTTTACAGCTTTTTTCGGGTAAGTAACCGAAACATATTTGTAATAAATACACGTTTCATTTGTTATTCTGTTTATTAAAATTCTATTTTCTAATTTAGATCAAAACATTGTTCTTATGTTGAGGATAACGGAATTTTACCAATCTTTGATATTGTCATTTCTTTTTATAGCTTTGAATTTCTTCGAGATTAGTTTTGATTAATTCTTTTAAATATTTTGTTACTTCTCGAAATAAAAAATGAATCATTTCGGCGAATTCCAATGGACTTCCAAAATTAATCAGGGCATTAACTAACATGAAGGTAAATTGTTATATGAAGACATAATGTGTTTACAAGCATAAATTATTAAACTGTTACATGACGACTATAGGGTTTGACAAACAAAAATTGTTAACTGGTATAGAAAAAACATGATGTGCTTACTAGCATAATGGTTTACTGTAACATGAAGACCTAATGTATATACAAGCATACAGGTTTACTTTATTATGAAGACCTAATGTGTTTACTAGCATAAATATTACCTATTATAGAAAGATCTTATATTGATTTGAAGAAGAAAACTTAAACAAATGAGTTGTAAAATAGATTTAGTCTGTAACGATGCAGTTTTACTAAGTGCAAGCTACTAAAATATATAAGTATAATCTGGTTAACTATACTATGTAAACAGGGCTCGTTGAACACTTGACACTTTGATGAACTTATGAAGATACGAAATGTCACAATTTCTTGCAAATTTCTTTAAAAACAACAAATAAATAAAAGCAACAACAACAACAACAATGAAAACACTTAAAAAAGGTTATTGGCATGTGCATGTTTTAAAATATCAGACATTTTATATAGATAGTTTAAATTCTAGGAATATGCTATATTGAAGACGTTCATGACTCAAATCCAACGAGAGAAAGGGCCAGAAAAAATCAAGAGGTATTGAAATACAAAACAATTATGTTTTTTTTTTTGTAAAATACCATTAGTAGAATAAAATCAATTCAACATGTATATAAATTAAGAAGATTTAAGATTGAAGGATAAAAATAAAGGCATCAGTATAGAGAAGCATCAGATAATTTACAAGCGGCTAAAGTAAATTAATTACGAACATTTCAGTTTGTTGCAAGGTAGCTGTCCTTCGGTATTAGGGGCTTGAAGTTAGCGGCAAAGCAACTTATATTTCAAGCAGCGTAAAATAAGCTTCCTGGCAGTGTTAAGTATTTGAAGTAATTGGCATAGTGGCGTTTTGTAAACGGCTAAGCGACTCGTCGGCGCGGCGATCTAAACAGTAAAAGCTGTTGAAACTCTATTAAACGATTGAAACGGCACTTAATGTAGTAGTTCATAAGACATATATTGTCATTTACAATATTCTCGCTCTATATTTAGAATATACAAATACGAAAACAACACTTTTTAAGAATCTGAAACATTTGTCAAAAATATCTTAACGGCCCTTTGTAAAGTTTTTAAGAATAGCTTGTTATTTATAAGACATATAAACAGAAAAAAACACTTTCAAATAAGTCTTTGAAATTGTAGATGTTTATAAAAAACAATAAAAACGGTTCCTAAAGAAGTTCTTAAAACAATTCTTGACATTCGAAAGATAAGTTGAAAATCAGCCACAGAAAAATCACTTCGATAATTGTTTTTTTTAAAGAATGCGTACTAAATTCGTTGTCAAGTTGTGACTCATTATGGAGATGTTAAAACATTTCTTGTCAATTAGTAACATAAGAGTCAAGACAATTAATTTGCACAACAGAATAATCTAAGACATTTAAGGTCATGTTGTTTTAATGGTATTTATATGTTGTTTCATTCGAATATTGACCTAGGCAATGTAGCAATAGCTTGGCTATAAATAGAAATAGGAATGAGATATCGTCAATGCCCCAGTGCTTATATTCGTACAAACAGGTCACTGAGATTTGAGAAATTCTATCGTTTTCTTTTTAACATTTACCAATTCCGTTCTTTTTGTGTGAAAATACTTGCAGTTCAATAAAGATTCAATAGAAGTATTTAAATAAAAACCTGTATTCAAACCTTTATACTATGAGCAAAGTAAGCGTGTATTTAACAATTTGATAAAGATCTAACAGCATAATTAAAGAAGACAATACATGTATATACATAAAATAAAATCAGTCAAACTATCTTATTTTATCTCGTTGCATATATTTTAACAAGAGACATCTTTAAAAAAAGATATTTGGCCGAGGCAAATCTGCTTTTATTTTCAAAATTATTCCGTTTTCTTGTAATTATGAAAAAATGTAGCATGTTAATGATTTAATAATGAGAATTATTACTTGTTGAAATTCAAAGATGTGATTGCGAACAGACTTATGGTTAGTCCAACAAAATGCTCTACAGGTTAATGTGATTATGCCTTAATGTGTTGGCAATTACTCCCCTCTTCGTCGTAGCCAGAACAAAAATCACCCCAGAATCTACCGCTGGGTGTTGAAATAGTTTTACCACCAGTGAATTTTGAATCACTCGAATCAATTTTTCTTTGACAAAAGTTTTCGTGAGACAAACTTTTCTTTTTCATGGATGCATGTATCTCAGTTTCGATCTATTTATTGTAATATGTTTTGATATAACATAATGTTTTACTGTTGAAAATGATATAAGATAAGAATAATCAACGATCTACTTTTTAAAATTTTATATAAGTGATGAAAATACTAACTATTTATAGTATAATTACTTGTATCTTTAACCTCTATTGCTGTTTGCAAAGTAAGGTTTACCAATAAACCATTTCAAATTTACTATCAAAATCATTAGCAAAGATCGAGTAGTCTGCCAAGAACAAAACATATATTGAGTCTAATTATTGTATTCGTACTCAAAATTTCCCTTTTTCAATTTTTTTGACGCATACGGAAGGACGGCGGACGCTAAAGCATCCCCCTTTGATACAAATAGCTCACTTTGAACGTTTGGTTCTAATGGGCTGAAAATTTAAACAAGAAATATCTTTCAAATTGGATTCCCGTTCATATTTATATTGAACACCATTAAATGTCTTTATATTTAATAAAAAAGGCCGTTTTATTTATTTATTTAAATAATCATTTATTAATTTATATTTAAGTTATTTATTTATTCATTCATATATTTATTTATTTATTTATTTATTTATTTATTTATTTATTCATTCATTCATTCATTCATTCATTTATCTAACTTTATATTCATATATCTATTTATTTATTTTAATGTCTACGACATTCAAAGAATTGGCCGCCATCTCGGTAGGTCAACAACTCCGTAAAAAAGAAAAATTAAAACAGGTTCTAATGCACCTTTTTTCTTTAATATACACGTATTTTAACATAGATGTATTCAATCTTACAAGTTTCGTAATTGTTTTAAAATTACATTAGCTCAATCTTGAAGGAAATATATATTTCACATTATTTTTTCAGGAAAAATGTTTCTCTCCGAATAACATGATTGTAAATAATACAAAAAGGTTAGATTCACTTTATAAAGCATGTGGAAAATTGGGGTATTCGGAGGATGTTAATGCAACGAATATAAGAGCACATATGTCACCAAACCTAAAACTTTTGTACTGTAGAGTAAATAAATGTGCATCCACAATGACACTAGAATTACTTAAACAATTGTTTAGCTGTGATACAGAATGCTTGATCAAAAATGCTGAACGTGTTCGTCTACATAAAAATGCACGACAGGTGATGGATGATGCATTTTCATTTATGATTGTTCGTGAACCTTATGGCCGTTTGTTTTCCACTTACTGCAATATTTTCTATTTCCCGAAGGAAGATTGGCTTTACAGAGGAACTCAACTTATTAAACTTACACGATTAAATATTTCAAATGACAGTCTAATTTATGGGTATGATTTAACTTTTTCTGAATTAGTTAAATATACTGTGGACACATTTGAGATCGGTAATCGTTTAGATGAACATGTCCGACCAATGCACCATAAATCTTGTAATCCATGTGTTTTTAAGTTTAATTATATTGCACATCTTGAGACCTTACAAAACGACTTCGATATCATTTTTAGTAACCTGTATAAGGAGGAATTAGTAGGGATGTATCAAAATGATACTGTATTATCTTTAAAAAATTGGACAACTTTAGGACCTATAAAGCATTTATTTAGAACTATTCCTTTGTTGAAAGGTTCCAATATATCTCTTTATAATGTGTATCTTCGTGCGTGGTGTTACTACCAAATAACAGGGCATGTACTGAATGCAATTAACTTTCCATTTTATGAACGCGATCTGTTTGAAATTAAAAAAGAAGACTTCATAACAGAACTGACGAAAGCAATGAAATTATCAGCGATTCATAAAGATAGATTAAAACTACAGAGAGCGGAAGCGATGGCTCAGGCTTATTCAACTATATCTGATGAATATATGGAGCGATTAAGCAATGTTGTATTAGGCGATTGTCTTTTATTTGGATATGAAAACAAGCCGGCACATCTATTTGATAAAACTAGCTGTTTGCAGAAAAAAACGGAATTCGATTACTTTAAGGGTTTGTAAAACCTTTCGATCAACGCAGATGAAATGATGAAGAACATTAAAATACACTTAAATTCTCAGTACCTCATATAATTCAGTAATTATCAAATCACAATGTCCTTTGAGATAATAAATTCAAATGCCTTAGTGTTGATGATTAAATACACTAAAGCAGATATAAGTGGGTGTGTGATTTGGTTTATAGATTTTATTACAAAATACATGTGAGCAATATGCCAATGAGCACACGCACATGCACACACTACAAATTCATAAACACCAACAAGATTTATATCTGTACGTGGTTAGAACAAACAGCACTTGTAAATGTCGGATACCATCAGTAATACGGTTCTCGTATTAGAATAAACTAGTATTAAACAATCGGAGGCATAAGTACAGAAAGTGAAAAGAAATACAAACCAACAAAAATACAGAAGATACAACACCCGCATCTTTTCAAATGTTATCCACTTGTGAAAATGATTTTCCATTTTTAAAGTAATTAAATGCAAACCATTGTTCAAAACATAATCTGCCCCAAACTAATTTGCATCTTTGTGTGTATCTGCGTTTGAAATTTAGAAATATGTAACTCCAAATGAAATCGAACATATATTCCCTAAAGGTTATATTATTTTCGTGCAAAATAGATGTAGCACAGATAGAGCAAAAAATCGTTTTGATGAATAAAAGGATTTACCCAGAAGTGTAAGATGTTTGTATTTCTATTTCTTTAAACATTTGTTATAAACATCAAAGTTAGGTTTTTAATCATGTTGGAGAGTTAAGTAGAGGTTGTTCTTAAAGTATGATCCACTTAATGCATTACCTTTACTCTGAAATATTCAAATAGGCTAGAACTACTGCCAACTGCATTGTAATTGAGAGGCGCGAGTTCAAGCCCCAGAACAGGCAACATTTTTTCTTTCTTTTCTTTCTTTGAATAGTATTTGTGTCTCTCAGATCACTCTTGAGAGGAAAAAAGTGTTTCATTTTAATTATGAAATTATTATTAGTTGTTATTGGCAACATTGTGTCAAATATGGTACCTGATATTTTCAAAGTCTAATAAAATAAAAAAAAACTTGACGTTAAAAGTATTTTATATTTGACAAGCACAACTAATATACTTTTAAAAAGTTTTATGCAAACTTTGAAGACAGCACCTGATTTGAGTAAATTTAAGGGATATTTTAAATAAGGCCCTCCAAGTAGCAAAATGATCAAACAGCTACGTAAAATGGGTGAGGTATGGTCACATTTATATACATATTTCAAACACTTTGAGTAGAAACAATAATTTTGCTGGGCCATTTGCTAGCTGAATGCTATCATTTGTTTCTTAAAAATGTTCTATAGGAAACATGTTTTTTCATAATGATTATGATATAGAATATTTTCTCATTTCTGAAAAAGGGCCCTTCTAATAGCTAAAATAAATAAATACAGAATCCCTAAAATTTTACTGAAGAAAAATCTCCATAACTCGTAAACCATACAGTAAACTTTGTTTAACTTTTGATTTCTTGTGTGTGTCTTTTAAGGTATATAACAGACCTATGTTGTTCATTTTATAGTTCAAGATAGTGCCCATTAGGAGGCTCATACATTCATGTAATATGTTCATTGTTTGTTCCAACATAATTGCAAGTTATCTCCATTCAATTATTTATGTACATGTTATGTTTTTGCAATACAATTTCAAATGATAATTAGTATTGAAAAACAAAAGCCTGTCCATCCTGATCTGAAGTTTATTTAATAAGTTGATTTGTGTATTTTAATGTGTTCCTTGTAAAAAACATATATCATACTTTTGTAAATTCAGCAAACTGAATACATGTTCATGAAGTTAGCTAGACACCCGGAACAGCCGGAGAAGCTCATTTTCGCCAAATCTGACTGTTCTGGCTACTTCGACTAGCACGATTCTGGCTCGGGCTGAACAAGCTGGCAAGAGATGATACGGTAAAACCTGTGCAAAAAACCATTGGTTCATTCCATAATGTAGTGTCAAATTACTTATCACAACGATATCCGGCTATTCAGGCCTGTCAGAATAACTGAAATCAAGGTAACATAGATGAAACATAATCCGGCGACGGATTGAAGAAGATGTGTGTCGTGCATTGTATGTCCGAGTGTTCGCGGTTATAATTGTGTCCGTCGGGAATACTCTGGTGTTTTACCAACGTTGAGCCGAAAATCGTACTATTGAGAGTCATTTCACCTAAAATATCGCCAGTTTCAGCCGGCCCTTGTGAGGTTTAGACTAAATTACTCAGAACCAAATATGGTGGGATAATAAGAGGGTCTGGTCGGGTGTCCACGGTTATAAGTGTGTCTGTAGAGAATACTCTGGCACTTTTGCCGACATTGAGCCGAAAATCTTATTATAGATGCTCATTACAGCTCATATCTCGCCAACGTCGGCTGGCCAATGTGAGGCCAAGACTCAATTACGCGGAACCTCATGTGGTGGGATGGTAAGGGGGTCTGACCGGGTATCCGCGGGTATGGTTGTGTCTGTCGGAAATGCTCTGGTATCCTGCCTCCTATAATTATAAAAAAAATTCATTTTTACTACCGCCAAGGTTGCCTTCTTTTTACCATTATGTTCATTTCTATATAACCTTGTGCTAAACGAATTTACCTAAAACAATAGATTACCACATTGTTTACAAATAATATCAACCTCCATTAAGCCATTTTCGTACAATAGATATACTTTGAAACAATGATTGTTACGTTGTTTGTTTTTATAATTTGCGTTTAGCTTTTATACTGCTCTATACATGTGCAAGGAAAATGTCATGAAAAGAGCCTGTTTCGCACCTCTATTATACTATTCAGATTTTCCCGTATACATTTTAAATAAAAAGAGGATATTTTTCGTTTTTCGTGAAATATGGAATATATTTCCACGAAACTTGATAAAATGCCACATGTGTTCACGAGCCGGGACGGCATGTGAAAATACGTGGCATTTTTATAATGTTGAATGAAAATATATACCACATTTCACTAAAAACGAAATAAAATAACCTTTTTATTTAATTTCATTATCAAAGAAAAATGGTTACAAAACCAACTGCTTGCTACGCAACTGCAACTGTACAGCGCGCAGTATTATATAATTGCGTCTTGTTTTGCACGCGATATTTGGCGCTTCATTGTGACGTCACGTTAACAACTCTTTAAACGTATGTACAGCGTTTATAACTGAACTAAAGATATTGTTGTTCTGATTTATTTTCTTAGACCATTTTCTGTCATTCTAGATAGTTTTCAAAACAAAATTTAACAAAAATTGTTTTGTATTTCTCAGATTTTTCAAATAAAATGGCGAAAGAAGTCCCTTAAAATAAATATGAGTTTCGACTCTGCCCTCTTTCATATTTATATTTCATATTTATTTAAAAAAAATATGAAATGTATTTGACTGATATAGCACCATATTTTATGGGTTAAATTAGATAAAAGACAAGTCTGTTGAGAGAAAACCTCAAATATCTATTATAAAGGAACACAACAATTTTCTCAATTATTTCAAAGACGATTCTAACTACAGAAACTTGAACTATGGTACATATATGAATATATATTTAGAAGCTCATATTTCTAATTTAATTTCCGATCTGATTCTTATTTGTAAATTCACTGGCCAATGCGGAACTAATGCTCCAAAATATATTGAAACTATATCCAATGGTAATACAAATAATTATTTTATTACAAGGCAGTCTTAATGACAGCTAAATCCCCTTCAGCGGTGAACACGAATTTGCGCTTCTTCACCTTTTACCAACAAGGGCCTTGATGTTGTGTCATGCATACCATAAGCACATAGTCTCACGATGGTGATTATTTGTGCCAAGTTATTTAAAATCTTCCATAAAGTCAGAAAGTTATGAAAAACATTGACCTTTGGTGCAGCAACCTGGATGTTGAGCTCTGCAGATTGTGTCATGGTGATCATTTATGCCAAGTAATTTTAAATTGTCAAGAAGTTATAAAGCTGATATGCAATGAATAGATGTTTTTACATTGGAGTTTGAGTGTGACCCTGACCTCAAGGGTTGTGACTTGATATTTGCGCTCTGTCAATGGTGTCATAACTGTGGTCATTTCTACCAAGTTATCAGTAAAACATTGCAGCGGTTTAAATGTTATGGACGGACACGAAATGTAGACATTCTAACATTTGACCTGTAAGTATGACCTTGACCTTGGAGGTAGAAACTCACTTTCTGCGATCTGTACATCGTATCATAATGGTGATAATTTGTGCCAAGTTTTTTTAAAAAAAGGTTTAAAAGTTATGTAGGGTGCGCAATATAGACTTTTAAACATTTGACCCAATTTTTGCCCCATGCACATTTTCCTATATTGGTGATCAGTAATGCTAAGTTATGTAAAAAAAATACAGCGGTTTAAAAGTTATGGAGCAGAAATGTAATGTAGACTTTTTATTATGAAATGAAGACTTTTTTAACATTTGACCTTTAATTGAGACCTTGACCTTGGAGGTAACAAACCAATTCATACGCTCTGCACATCGTATCATTATTGTGAACAGTTTTGCCAAGTTATTTAAAAAAAAATCAGCAGTTAAGAAAGTTATGGAGCGGACACGAGAGTGTTACTGACGAGCAGACGGACTAACGAACGAGCTGACAGACGAAGGCAATTCCTATAATTAAAAAGGCAGACAACTTTGCAACTTAGATATAACAGAACCAAGGAACGCGCCACTGGATCAAGATTGAATAGAACATGCACATATATCATTTAGGCATAACAGTAGTACAGTTATTACCTGTATACCAGTATACCTATGTAGTTACTTAATCTGATCAAGTGGACAAGTATACACTAACTGTAAAACTAACTGTAAAAGTATATAATTATGATAAAACATTTCAAAAATAGGAAAATGTTTTTATGACTTTTGTAGCTTGTGAATTGTCATTAGTAGGAAGAGCCTTTGATATTTTCACACATCAGAACCATAGGAACAATGGGGATTGACATTTATTCAGATTGAGCCAGAAATGGACCTTTCAATATTAACTTGAGACAAACAAAGGAAAGGATAAAACCAGAAAGTACAAGGCAATCACCATAGGTAGTGACATCCATCTACGAGTTGTTACATGCTGTACAGTTCTGCCAAGC